CATCCATCCATCCATCCATCCATCCATCCATCCATCCATCCATCCATCCATCCATCCATTCATCCATCTATCCATCCATCCATCCATCCATCATCCATCCATCCTCCCATCCTTCCATCCACTCATCTTCTTCTCCTGCGTTCTTTATTCCAAGTTACAACAGAGCTGATGCCTGTCTCCAGCAGTCACTCTGTGAGAAGTGGACACACCCTGGACAGCCTCAAGTCTGTCGCAGAGCTCCAACCAATCACTGAATCACTAAATCAAAAATCTAAATAATTAACCACTTATTCAACCAACCAAGAGACCAATTAATCAGCCAACCAACAAAATTTATAACAACCAACCAACAAATAAATCAACAGAACAATTAATAAACCAATTTTTTAAACAACCATCAAGCAGTCAAACCATATTTAAATAGTATTTTCTAAACAAATCAATTGCAGTTGTAGATTAATTTTAGGTGCAATTAACAAGGATCTTTAAATAAATTGGATTCCAGACCAAAAAAAAAAAATTCATAAAAATAATGTATTTTCTAACCATTTTTAAATGTACTGGTCAGTCAGATACGATTTATGTTGTGCTCACAGGAATGACATCCATTTCTACTACCCCAACAAGTTCATTCAGAGAGATGACACCGAGCGCTTCTACATTCTCAACACTCTCTTCAATCTCTCAGGTAGAGAACAAAATCCTCAGCTTGCTGTTATTACTGTATAATTCCAAACAGTGAAGTCATTTTAGATCTGATTTTCTTAAACATTTGTTCTAAAAGAAGTGAATTTTCATTAAAGCACAGTTTCTCTTGCTCCCTGCAGAGACTTATCTCTACGCTTGTCTGGTGGATTTCTTCACTAGAAGCAACAGATACTCAAAGTGAGTTTTTATGTCCTGAAGGTACATTTCACCTGGAGAGCAAGCTTTGAACTTAAATATTTCATCTTTTTCACCTCCGCTGTTAAAACAGCCTGGATAAAGGCTTCCAGCACGGAGACTTATTCATGTCCTACAGAAGCATGTTCCAGGACGTCCGCAAGGCAATGGACTTCGTTCACGACAAAGTGAGTTACAAAACACCGCAATGTGTCTTTTATCGTTATAAGTTAAGCACAAATAGTAAAAACATAAAATATTTTTTATAGGGAATCCTCAAGGAACAAACTATTAAGAATTTGGAGAAATATGTGATTAAAGATGTGAGTATTGAATATTACTGAATTCAGTTATAAGAACGACTGAAATAATAAAAATAAATGTTTTTTTTTTTTAATTACAGCCAAATATCCCCATGTTGTTGACCAGAATTAAAGAGGTGGCAAAGGTGTTTCTTGCCACTAACAGTGACTACAAATACACTGAGGTGAACTTTTCAGCTTCACTGTTCCGACTGAAGTTTCTCCACTTTTTCTAATGTGTCTCCACTTCTTCCCTCAGGTGATCATGAAGTACCTGCTTGAAGGTTATACACAGGTAAGAAAGTGTTAATTGTGAGATTTGTTGGAAAAACTCAACTGGATTCAGGATTATTCTTCACTGTAGCCTGGTTGCCCCAAAAAGACCTGGCCCTCCTTCTTCGACCTTGTCGTTGTGGACACAAGGAAGCCTCTGTTCTTTGCAGATGGGACGGTGCTGAGACAAGTGGACACGGTATGAAAAATGTCCCCCCTGGTGAGACAAGCTGGCGGTCTGTAAGTTTTGATGCCATTCTCATTCGTTTTGGACACAGAACACAGGGAAGCTGCGCATCGGGACGTACACCGGAGACCTGCAGCATGGGACAGTTTACTCCGGAGGTGAGGTCCAACCAGATTATTCTCCAAATGTATACGAAAGGAAAAGGACATTAAAGATTCAGAGATAAAAAATGTTTTAATTGTTTATTAAAACAATTGTATTAGATTAACCGAACTGCAAAATTAGATCCAGATTAGATCAATTATTTCATTGTAACACATTTTTTTATTTTAATAAGTGCTTACCGTATTTTTGGACTATAAGATGAACTTAAAATCCTTTAATTTTCTCAAAAATTAACAGGGAGCCTTATAATCCGGTGTGCCTTATGTCTTAATTCTGGTTGTGCTTACTGACCTCAAACTGATTTTATGTGTTTATTGTGAATGAGTTTAATAAAGTTTGACTTATTGGACTGTTTTGTTTCGCTTACTGCACCTTTTAATCTGAAAAAATATGGTAATCCTCAGTTGTCAGACTCAGTGATTTTGATCATCATCTCACCAAATGTAATGAGGTGGAAAAGATTCACTTGTGGTGTTGGTTATTAATTAAAAAGACACCAAATCATTAAACAAGAAGGTTTAAATCTTAGTTTTTCATTTAAGGGTTTATACTCTGAGAAATTTTGGGAACAGAGAATTTAAACATCTTAAACATTCAACGATGTTTTTATATCAACTTTCATAGTTGCACAATAAAAACAACTGAATCTGTTCTCGATTGAAGGATCTTCAGACATTGTCTGTGATCTGCTGGACGTCAGAGGTAAAGACATCCTCTACGTTGGAGACCACATCTTTGGAGACATCCTCAAGTCAAAGAAACGTCAAGGCTGGAAGACTTTTCTGGTCGTACCTGAGCTCACCAAAGAGCTGCAGGTGTGGGAGGAAAAGAGAAGTAAGAGGACTCCGCTTTGTGTTTTATACTTTTCTGACATCTTATTATCAAAGTACTGATGACATTTTTTTTCTTTTAGCTCTCTTTGAGGAGCTGAAACGTCTCGATGTCTTCTTAGCTGAACTTTACAAGTAAGCTGGTCCATCTGTGTGTTTGTTTATCAGAAACATCTTTTTAGATGTTAAATAAATGAATAAAACCACCAGTGAACGGAAGCTCTATAACAAATTAACCACCAGTTACTGAAGTAGTGAGGAAAAAATATAGAAATGTTCATTTTTCTCAGTCTGTGCTGCCTTTATTTTTCATATTAGAGCTGAGATGAATGGACGTGCAACTATAGTTTAAACTTTAAGTCACTGCAATTGGTAATAGGGAGAGATTTCTGATCTTTAATAAAAATAAACTGAAATCTCATTTTGAATATATAAAAAAGGAAGAAAAATCATAAAACAAAGTGGACATATTTGAAAAATATGCTTCACTGAAATTGTTCTAATAATATTCACACACACCAGAAATTCAAAGGATTTCTCTGAGGTGTGCTGCTTCCTATTATCCAGCAGGGGGCGCTGCTGCTACTCTCGAAAAGTCACTTTTTAGAAAAGAAAACATCAAAATCAAAATAAATTTCTGAATAATCATAATTAATTACAGTAATATCTAAAAACTTGAATGAAAGTTTGGTTTAAAGTTTTGTTTCTGTGAATAAAAATGTGTGAATGCGACTGCTCGTGGATGAAATCTTTAACTAATGAAAAACACCAATTGATTAATCACTTTTTTCTGAACATAACAATTTTTTATTAATATTATAATTTATTAAAGGCATTTGGACAGCGGCAGCAAAGAGTGTCCTGACATCAGTGCCATCAAAACAAGAATGACCGTAAGCATGACAGAAAACTTAACTTTATTACTTTTATCCTGGTTTTTGTCTGGTTTAAAATAAACTGAATGCAAGAGTACTGTTGTTTCACCTTGAGGAAATGGTGACTTTGCACCAGTTTGTGCATGTTTTCAGCACCAAAACCAGTCCACCTGCAAATTAAACACTCACTTGTCTTTTGCATTATAAATTCACTTAAATGTAATTCTTTGCATACTGCTCAGTTTTCTTGTTGTCAGTGGAAATAAGCTCAATGAGGAGTCATGTCTGCAGCTCAACCTTGTGCTGTTCTGCAGGTTCTGACCTACAGAATGGACATTTCCTACGGTCAGATGGGCAGCCTCCTGCGCAGCGGATACACGCAGACATTGTTTGCCAGCCAGTTGATTCGATATGCAGACCTGTACTCCTCCACCTGGATCAACCTGCTGCAATACCCCTTTAATTACCTCTTCATGGCTCCCCCAGTTCTGGTCAATATCCTCCCTCCTTCATCCACATGAAGGTGTGCACGTGAAGGAGCTTTAACTTTCTTCTTTTTCTTTTTCAGATGCCCCATGAGGCAGCTTCTCAAAACTCTGCAGACATCACTTCATCAGAGAAGAACAGTATGGTTATGATGACCAACAGAAACTAAGCTTTACTGTTTTTATTTTGTGATTATTAAAATTTGCTTTGTGAGTCTTTAAGTTTGAAGCCAAACATCTTCTCTTCCACATAAAAAACATAAAGACTCTGCAGAGGAAACTGACTGTTTTTTTAATGACATGATGATAATGGTGAGATAAAAAGGATCATTAATTTATTTATTTACTTACAGCTTCTACTGCGCCATCTGCTGGAAATAAATTATATTGCCATGAAAGGTTCACAAGATGGAATGCAAAAAAAAAAAAGAAGTTTGTGTTGTTTTGTAAATATGTGTGTTTTTACATAAAGAGGTGCAAAATGCACTTTTAATTTAACATTTTGTGTAATTGTTTAAATATTATACTTTATTTATTCATCATTTATTTAACATATTGTAATGAATTGTAGCAAATATTTGAGTTGAATGTTCTCAGTTAAGTATTTTATCATACATTATTTTGTCATATGGATGACTTCCATTAAAAAAGTGTTGTTGTTTTTTGTACGAAGTTATTCCACATACTAGTTTTTGTTAAGACACGTCCCCTGCTCATGTTTCCACATACAATAAACTAAATAAAAACTCCTGTATTTACAATGTTTAAAATGTATTTACTTATTTTTATTAACTGCTGAAGGTGAAAGGTGATCAACTTTATTTAATTGTGGGAATGCTTTAGAAGCATTGTGATCCATTTTTATTCTGTACATTTTTTCTCATCTTTCTTGTTCCGCCATTTCTATTTCAACAAATCATATATCAAAACGTTCAGCTCTTTCGGGAGAAGGGTGCTATGATGTTTGGTTTTGGTGCAACTTTAGCTTTTTGAAATATTTTGCCTTTTTTGACATTTTTCCTCATAGAAAATGAATTGAGCTCATTTTACATCCTTCAAATCTTTAGATCACAACATTTTACTGCTCCTTTCACATTTTGTTCTGGTTCAGCCTTTTTCAGCTTCTTTGTGCAAATTTGAACTTTTTTCAGCTAATTGCAGCTACTTTCATCTGTTTTGTGCTCTTTTCAGATTCTTTCTGCTAACTACAACATTTTTGTGCTTCTTCTAACTTCTTTTGTTAATTTCAGCTAGTTGTGCTCCTTTCAGTTTATTTCTGCAAGTTTCAGCTTTTTCTGCTATTTCAGCTACTATTTAGATGTTTTATGCATATTTTTATCTTTTTAAGCTAATGCCACATTTATTTCACTCTTTTCAATGTTTTTTTTTCTGCCCAATTCAGCAAAAATGTGCTCTGCACTTCCTTCTGGTAATGTAAACTTATTTCTGCCTTTTTAGCTACTTTTCAGTAGTTGTTGTTGTTGCTAATTTTAGCTTTTTTCAGATAATTTCCACTTTTTGGGTGCTCATTCCTGCTTCTTTAAGCCAAATTTGAAAAACATATTCTTTCTGTTTTCATCTTGTAATTTAAGCTTGTTCTACCTGTTCAGCTACTTTTTATTAGCATTTTCTAACTAATTTCAGCAGTTTTCAGATAAATTAATTTCTTGTGGTAATTTCTGCTTCTTTCAACCTTTCTGATCATTTCAGCTTCTTATACTCCTTTCAGCTTAATTATGCTAGTTTCAGCTTTTTCTGCTATTTCAGCTACCATTTAGCCATTTAATGCTAATTTAATATATATATATATATTTTTTTAGCTAATTTCAGCTCTTTATGCTTCCTTCAGGTAGTTTAAGCTTCTTTCTGCCTTTCAGCTACTTTTCAGCCATTTTTTAAACTAATTTCATCCTTGTTTTAACTATTTTCTCTATGCTTGTGCTCATTTCTGCTTATTTAAATTATATCAGCAAATTTCTTTCTGCTTTCTTCTGCTAATTTAAGTTTGTTCTTCCATTTCAGCTACAATTCAGCATGTTTTAGCTAATTTCAGCTGTTTCTCAGCAAGTTTTTTAGCAATAAGCCTTCACACGGCATTTTTGCAGGAAGTGCATTTTCTCTAGTTACTGTTATTTTTTAGCCTGTGTGTGTGTAGACCTGGTTTTTGTAACCTTAGGACTGTTTCTTGTTTACAATCTTGTCAGGTGCTTATGTGGGGGGGGGGGGGGGGGTCAAAGCCTGGTGTTAATAGATTGGATCATTATTTTTATCTTTGGAGTTTGGTTGAAGGGTTGGAAAATAAATGAAAGTCAATGCAGTGCCCTCATAAGTCAGAGTCAGAGTTTCTTTATTGTCATTCGCACCTCATGTGGTACATGTGGTGGAGCGAAATTATGTACACAAGGTCCCAGTTACATAAGTTACATACATAAGATGATCCAAGTCAAAACTAAGGCGGCGGGCGATACGCATCCTTTCGAGGAATACAAAGTCTTTTTTTTCTATACATTATATTTGTCTGCTGCAATACTTCATTTGTCCACTAAATGGCACTTAATCCCCCCTGCTGCAGCCCTGAGGATCATTTTCTCAGAGGTTAAAGTTTATCTTTATGTGCATTGTAAACACACTCACCTTTATGCTCGAGCAGGAGCTGTCCCTGTGCTGCCATGCAGCCTGACACATGTAGCAGTGAATCTAGCTTCTTATCTGGAGTCTGACAGCCTAAACTGATGCGTGTACTGTGCATGCATGTGCCCTAATTAGCTGATCTTACTTTGCTGAAGTCACAGTATGTGCACGAGGCACCTTGAGTGAGTAAATCAACAAAAGTACTGATATAATGAGGTGTGAGATTAGTGCAGCACACACACACACTGTCCTGCTGCTACGGTTAACACACACACACACATCCTTTTCCTCATGGTATGATGTCAGTGCTCATGTGTGATTGTATACAAGAGGAGTTCACCCCCCACCCCCACCCCCCTCACAGGAAATGATCCAGTCTTCTTTCATGGCTGAAGTGTGCAGACTTATCACAGCTTTCCTGCTTTGCTCCCATCATGCAGGCGCTGCTTGTTTATGCTTTTTATTTTGCTCTGCAGGAAGAAATCACACTGATTGCACAGCTCGCGTGTTAATCCATATTTGCTGCAGAATCTGTGCAGTTTCAGTTCCTCACAGGAGAAATTCTGAGCTCCTTTCCTTTGTTGCACTGATGACAGGACGTTTTAGCTGCTTGTTTACTTTCGGTCTTTAATATTAAGCACGAGAGGTAAGTCCCCTCCATTTATCAGCTCCTCTTTGGTTGTGAACACACTCACACATGCACGCTTCCTAGTAGATTTTAGTTCTTGTATCCGGGCTATTTTGGTCTGTTTGGATTTCCTCCGCCATTGTCTGCGTCTCACCTGTATTTGTTGTTGCTGGATCATTTTTGTTCGTTCAGTCCTGTTTTATTTTCCTGCTTGCACAAGTCCTGATTTTTTTCTTTCCCCCATCACTTCTGAAGTTTTATAATAAAAAACATTTATTACTCTTTAACCCTATGGGAGAACTGCACACACACAAAAAAAATGTCTTCAGTTTGATGTGATGCATGAAAAGGACCAATATCAGAAGAAATGTTGCTACCATGTTGTTCATTTAAGTCACCATAGTAACACGTGTCTCACTCCCTGAATCTACTCAAGCAGGGAGAAACAGACATTTGAATGTAAGCTGTGTAAAAACCATTGGTCGCATTTTAAAAAGTCCTGGACTTGTGGCAGCAGTGTCTGATGGTCAGACATGGAAACTTCTACACATCTCAGATATGACAAGTTAAAGAGACATTTTATTTGTAGCTTTGAAGAAAATATTCAGATAAGAGGATGACTTGTTTGTTTACATCCTGGACTTTTTGCAGAAGATTTAATAGAAACCCACCAGTTACATATTAGTAAGGACCATTAGGGTAAAGAAGACAAAAATCTGTAAGTTATGATGTAAAATATGTGGAAATATTAATAATATCAGACAGCTCAAAAGTCATATTGTGAGAAATCATTCTCCTCAAAGTACCCAAAATGCATAAAACCTAAAATTGTGCAACCAAAATATTTAAATGCCATTTCAGTCCAATTTTCTGTGATCAGTTTCAACTAAACCCCATTGATCTCCATTGATTTTCTTTCTGCAAATTTTGTCTAAGTGCGGCGCTCCTCTGCCAAAGGTCGTAACACACTTTTATTTCAAATTAGTGTGACATTAAAAAATAAAATCATAAGGTGAGGACACTTCAGCACTGCATCCCTTCAACTAAACCAACAAGAGCGCTTTACAGCTTTCCCCTGGCGCCTATAGAAAATATATTTCTTTAAAAGCCTTGAAGACATGCACGATGGACATGCACGGCTGCCTGTTCAGCGCAGAAAGAAGATCCAAGGGTTAAGTTTTACATTTCAAATGTCACAGCTATGCTGGGAGTGTTTCGTCTGAAAACAAGGCCAGCTCTCACTCCTGAGTGTAAACAGGGATTGAAAATCCCCGAACCGCCTGAGAACAAGCGAGATGATGACACAAATAAAGAGCTGCAGGGAACTGGACTTCAGGTGATCTGAACTGGGATACGAGCACTGCAGCAGGAGCATCAAGTATCAGATTGATTCAGATCAGATTATTGTTGGGAGTTTCAGCTGAATGCAATCTGATCAAACCTTTATTGATCGTAGCGAGGAGATAAATGAGGTCGTTTATATGGATAATCCAGCTTTTTCACACTTTGGCCTCAAAACTGAATTGAGCTGAAAACCAATTACATTTTTCACAAAGAAAACTTTAATATTGTTGGAAAAAAATGCTACGTATCACGTTAATGTCTAAAAGATGCACTCTCTGTTTTAATTTGGTTAATGTTCTTTACCTTTATTAATGCAGAGCAAGTAAGTTTTATTCGACCCAGAATCTATTTATTCTGATCAACAAAAGTATTCATGATTTTCAACTGGTTTTTTTTGTTACTGTTAAAAACATATAAAACCAATAGCTTGCAGAATATTTTACTAAATTTCCTCAATGTTCGTTATTTCTTTAACACAATTTTAAAAAGGGAATAAAAATATCTGCTCCAGGCTTACGTTCAAGAGTTGGATAAATATATTTTAAATTGATTTTTAAAGTGGGGAGG